AAATATTTGATGTGATTGTTTATGATAAAATGTTACCGTGAACATTTGGAACGTTGATGAAGGATTGTCATATTCGTCGATGTAAAGCCATCATAATATTCGCATAAAATGCATTAGATAAATGTATTCGAATTCGGTGAATACGGTATATAAATAAAATATCTAATAAAAAATCGTTAGCCAAACATATGAAAGATGTCATGACATTGTTTTCGTTTACGATTTGTATTTCATCTCCGAGAAATGTATGTGTAATCCACACGGAGTTATTGTTGTTGGCAAACAAAAGAAGCGAAATGAAATGAAACGATACATCAACTTCATCTTTTGCTTGGTTTAAGGCAAAGAACAGCATTCTTTTCACTCTCAATAGTGGATGTCTTTTTTTTCCGCATATGGAATCGAGAGACGGAAAAAGGAATGGACGTATGAATTATTATTATTGCCCTGGAATAAATTCTCCAGCGTCATATTCGCACATTCATATTTAATTTCATCATATAAATACACATTCAATCTTTATGTTAACTCCATTGTGGCGTTTCAATATGGTAGCATTGAATGAGTTGTGTTTTTGTGTCTGCCACTCTTTCTATCTCACCATGGTTTATTCGATTTGGGTTATGATTAGTCCCGTCGAAAACAAAAAATTACTTTCTTATGTTCACCAATAAATTCTACAAGCAATGTAATTATTTCGTAACGCAAGAAACAATGCCGAAATAAAAATAATACATAATTCCAATCTAATTATTCGTCGCATGCAAGAACTGACTTTCGTCGAAATTTTCTTTTTCGATTGCTCTTTCTCATCGTGTTTTTTTCTTTCTTCCATTTTCTGTCTTGACATCTACTTTCTGTTGGTGGAAAATTTCAGTTTTGTTGGGCAATCACACCGACAATTGTCTCGCTTGTCGCCGATCGAATCTATAAATTGTCTCTGCAAACGAAATCGATTGCGCTTGACGAAACAATTATAAATACTTCGTTTTGGCATTATTAGTTTGACGAGACGTTCTTTTCGATATTTTTCGATCATGTTTCGCTTCAACATTCCTTCGTTCGCCTCGAGATACCTTTTTGGCCCCGGTGTTCGTTCCATTTTTCACCGCACAAAACAATAATATTTGTCTGCACCTGACATTTGTAAGCTGTTCGACGACAAACAAAACATTCACGCAATTCAAACTTTTTTCTCATGTTAGCTATTTGCTACTCTCTGTTTTTTTCTTTTTTCGCCTTGCGCCAATTTGTGTTGGAGAAAAGTTGTATATAGCCAAACACAAGTTGGTATTGCTGCTGCTTTTTTGTTCAATTTCTTGCTGTCCATTTACAAATATTTAATAAAGGTAAACAACGAAACTGGCATTTATGTTCAGACAAGCAAACGAGAGAGAGAGAGAGAGAGAGAGAGAGAGAGAGAGAGAGAGAGAGAGAGAGAGAGAGAGAGAGAGAGAGATGGAAAAATGCACACAATTTTCAGCGGCAAAGCTTCTGTGTAGCAATAATAAGCTACACTTGATAAACTTGATTGTTAAGGTTTTCCCAGCCGAAATGTAAAACGAACGAATGAGAAAGAGAGTGAATGAGCGAGAACACGCAAACGAAAAACTGAAGAAGCAAAATAAACTGAAGCAAAGAATCGCTGTAACAATCAAATACCACATAAAAACGAAACGAAAGTGTCAAGCAAAATGAAAGAAAAAGTTTTTTCTTCGCACAAAAGTGAAAAACAACAAAAAAAGACATTATTGTTTCTGTCATTGTAACGATGGCATTATATTACCGACCTGACAATGCGTATACAATGTTTAGTGCCAGTTTTGTTTGTATTCGATTCTCTTCTTATCGTATGGTTATGAATTTTTATATGGCAAATGGTGCGAAAGATGAAAAAACCGAACATGTGCATCGGACATCTAAATGCGGTCTAAAACTGAAAATAAACCAAACACACACATATAAAATCGCACACAGCATCCCCAACACACAAAGACAAACAGAACTGAGACATTCCTTGGATTTGCGAAAGAAAAAGGAGAAGAAAGTGTTTTATATAAGTGTAAAATCAAGGAATGGAACATTTTCTACAAAAAACTATGTTCAAAAGAGAAAACCAAAAAAATAGTGTGCTTTCCGAAACAAGAATGAAAAAAATGCGGAAAACTTTGTTTCGCTCGTTTCGATTATGCTATGTGTGTGCAATGTAGTTGAATGTAGCGATTTCCAAATGCTTTTTACGAGTCCATAATGCATTGCCAAATTCGGCCAACACCAAAAGAATAAAAAATAAAAGAAAATTTTGAAGGAAGAAGCATTTCGAACAGACCGATAAAAGAACACGCGATGTGATTTACACACACATACACGAACACAGTTGGAAGCGGGAACCGAAAGAAAAAAAATGTGGAAAAATAAAATGCGGCGCACTGAACATTGCTAAGTACGTGTTAAAAGTGGCAAAGACTTTAAGAAAATGAAATATCAAACTGGATCAAAATTTTAAAAGAGCGAGAATTGGAAAAGAGATTTAAGACAGTGAACGAAGAAAAAAAAATCGATCTGAAGATAAAATATTTTGAATTGTAACTGTATGCTGGTTTCTTTTATCAAACAAAATGAGATCATGACAGTGTCCAAATGAAGCGAGCAGCTTGAATTTGAGTGTTAAGTCACCATGAAGACAATACACAGACACAAACACCCTAACGAATCCAACATCGAATTGGATGCGATTCAAAAAGAGGAGAAGACATGGTGATTCAGAGCAGTAGTAACAACAACACTGTCTATAAGCGTCTAATGGTTTGAGTGTTTGTAAAAACCCGGTCGTGACCAGAAATCTAAAGACAAAGAGATTAGATTACGTTCATTTGGTGTGCATGTCTCAATGCTCTCTCCTCTCCCATTCTCTCTCTCTCTCTCTGTCTCTCTCTCTCTCTCGCTTTATATAGTCCATTTATTGATGTGTATAACTGTACTTTTATTATTACACTGCGTACTTGCTGCGGAACTTTATTGCCAATGAATGGTGTCACTAGCGTCTTATATACCAAATGCGCTCGGCCATCAAGCGTAATTTGGTGATAAGGAAAAAAAATAACAACGATGAATTGTCATGTATACAAACACAATTGCGAACTGCTTCGCTTTCTTCAATTTGGAAAGGAGAGAAAAAAAGTTGTCACTCTTTCCCTCACATCATCTCAGCTACACAATCAAAAATCATGCATGTAAGAGAGGACAAACAACAACAAAAATTTCCGTAGTGATCTTGTTTTTGTGTTGCGATGTCATTGTCTATAGTATATATTGGTCGTATGTTGGAATTCTAGTACCGAAGCGAATGACATTTGCTCACATTCCACTCATTAAATCCGACAAAATGATGGATTAATTTTAATTGTTTGCTATAAATATCCGCTTGCAAACACGAACAAAGTACAGTAAATGTTTTGTTTTTTGTTACTCAACTCAATGCTTATTTGTCATTTAATGGATACATAATTAGCTAAACGTGATGATTTTTCTCTTCGGATTACGCAGTGATGCGTTAACATTGGTTGTGTGAAGGCGATGTGAACAACTTTTTATGCGAAATCGAATTCAAATAATAACCATAAATGTGTTCATCCATTAATATTTATTTCAAGCTTAGCATGTTATTCATTGTGTCTTATCACCTCAGGATATATGAACGATTAATGTAACGCGACCAGACACATAAAATCAAATGTCGTAAAAAAAATACATATGACATGACACAATAAATCCGAATCGGATGCTCATCAAAAAAAAGGTATTTTCGGCCGAACGGTCATTTGTATTTTGCGTTATCGTTATTGTAAATGACGATCGATTAAATGTGATGAATACCATTGATACGATTACTGATGCCCATCAATTTCACCAAAATACCTGCCTGAAGGAACAAAGCAACCCACCTCTTTTGAAAACTTTTTTTTTCGTGGATGCCTTGTGACAAAAGGTTATACTACATAGTCATTAATTTAAACATTGAACCCATTTAAAAGCACTGATGGTATTCCAATGACTTTCAGTACAAAAACAAACAAAAAATTGGTCCTACTTGGATCTAAACAAATTTAATGTGAAGCGTATTATTTCCAATTTCAATCGATAAAACGTGCTTTTAATGTTGAATGTGATTAATTTTATTTTTATCGAATGATTTCTTGACAAAAAAACAATTTAATTTTTGATGATTGGAAATGATGGATTACCACCAATGATTCCGTGCATGCCAATACCAGGTATTTCAACATTTGATAAAAGGTCAGCAAAATCACTGTTTCCATCAATTGTCTGAGCAATTAGTTTCGGTGTGATTTTATTTTTCCTCTTAAATTTATCATCGGTATCTCTAAAATTGACAATCCACTCGATCAAAACCAACGTCAAACCTTGGATGATTCCGGTTAAAGCAGCCGATGCATTCCGAGTTATTCGTCTTGTAAAATATCTCTTCAAATATTTATGGATTCGATGCACTTTTATGAATGGCTTGCCACACAAATAGTTGGCGAAATCCATTGTAATTTCCAAGTGACCATTGTCTGCATCATTGGTGGAGGCTGATTCATCAGCGCTGGACACCGATTTATCAGCTTCATTTCCAGACATTTCTTAATCAATGGATTCGACGTCGCAAAAACTGAGTTTTTCTTTTTATATCTCTTTCGACCTTGTTTTTAATAAACAGATTTTATCCTCTTTTCTACTTTAATTTTATCTTGAATGCGATAGATTTAACTGCTTACAATCATTTGAATTAGCAATAGCTGTGACAAAAGTCCAAATGGCTACTGCAACTCTCCTTAAATAAAATGCAAAAAGTTTTTCTGATCGTTTTTCTTTATTTGATTTTCTCAATGTGAATATTGTCAACAACAAAAAAACAGCATACTACGACATTTGTTCAAAAATTTCATTTTCGTCTGCTAAGTCTGTCTAATACTGCTTCATTTCATCAATTATAGTTAAAAAGTTTTTAGTTTGTCTGGCACGACTCCACCTTGAGCAACGGTAACACTGGCAAATAATTCATTGAGATCATCGTCCAGTTGCATGGCCAACCGTATAAATCGTGGTTGAATACATTTTTTACCCGATTTCAATGCGATTTTCGCTGATAAATCCAGCAATTCTAATGTAAAATATTGGACGACAGCTGCAAGCACCATGGATGTTTTTCGCGTAAAGTGTTTTGCGTATCTTCCGCGTTCCAAAAGTCGATGCGCATGATGAACTGGGAACAACAATTTCATCTGTTTTTGCTTTCGACTTGATATTTTCCGTCGGTTTGCCTTCATCAAATTTTGTTCGTTCGCCATCTTTTTCTTGTTGTTTTAAAAAAAAAATTAATTAAATAAACGAATGATACTACTACGATGCTTCGCTCAGTTTGATTCACTTGAAATTGGACTTTACGTTTAATGTCTGCTTGTTTACTATGTTTAAACAAATGTTTTCATGACTTGACGACCGAAAAAGTGATAGCATCCAGAATAATAAGTTGTTTCTTCTTGAATAAAATAAAGAATTACTTTTGGCATACAGTTGAACATTTTGTGCAAATACCGAATTATAGTCTCCGAATGAAAACGGAGACGAACGAAAAATTGAAAAATATTGAAGCACAAAATGTTTTGAATTTACGAAAAGTCAGTCATGTTTTTATCTGTTTGGATCAAAAGTTTGTGCATAGTCTGCACATCCTTATCGTTTTGCTTTAATCTTCATTTTCTTCATCAAACATACAAACGAAGTCACATCGACCAAAATGCAAATGAACAAAACTTGACAATTTGTCGTTTTTCATTGTGTTTTTGCATCTTTTTTAATTTCACAACATGCACTACAGCTACTCTACTACAAAAACAATTATGCAACAATTGCATTTTCTTTGCCTAACAATGCTGCAGACAGTTTGGCAAAACCAGGCAGAAATGGTCGCTTAAAAATGTATTTAAAATTCAATTCATTTCTTCATTTGTTTCAACAAAATACAAGACTATGCAACTTGGAAATTATTTAGGTTAATCTTTGGAGCAATTTTCGGTTCAAATTGGCTTATGTTTTAAGGAAGTTTATTCCGAATATGTGATGGTAAGACAATAATGACTAACAATATGATTTCGAAATGAAAGATGAATTTTAAACAAAACATACATATGATTGTCTGTCACATTTCAAATGAATGCGTTTTTTATGTCAGACATGACAATCTTCTTCTTCATTTGAGTTGAATTGTTCTTTTGCATCAACTGAATCGATTGACACATTGGCGTGATGCCCTTGTGTGTCGTATCACCATCTATCACCATACGCATAACATGCGTGTGTGAGTGGTTTCATTTATAAATGGTGCGAATTGAAGGCGACAAATAAAACAAGTTCTTAATATGACAATGACAGACGAATACTTCAGCATCAAAAACCATACGTGAAATTGTTGAACAAGCATCGAGTGTTTGAATAAATGGCAAAACTCATTCTATCTTTCTCTCCCTCTCAATCAGCCCCCACCTCTTTCTTTCTCGCCCGTTGCACTCGAAACAAAACAAGAACGAGTGCAGCTTAAGATTCTGACAGTTCCCCACAACCGAAAGCAGAAGAATAAAAATTATTTATATAATGTTCGTCCATGTTTCTGCATTAAGCGATTTGACGTTGTTTATATGTTGCATATTGAGAGAGGGTGAAACGAATCCCCTGATTTTGAACAACTATAACCAACGTTGAAGTAATAAATAATTCTGCATTTGAGCTCACAGTGCATGAGACTGTGCAAAAGGTTTTTGACACATGATACACCAACGGTCGTCTTCAAGTATGTACAGAAATCGAACATTCATTTCGTTGCATAAATATGTGTATGTGTGTGTATGTGTGTGTGTGTGGACACATGTCAATGTGTATAAAAACTTATGGCGACAGCATTCATGGAAATTGAAGTGAAAAATTTCATCACACGTACTTTTTGGCACATGGCCCATTGATATTTCAATGGTGTCTAAACCACTAAACACAGTGACACAAATGAGAAATGGTAATGTTTCCCTCAAATTGGTAATTCAACCGCGCCGAAGAAAAAAAAACAGCAGTTAAACTCAAGAAACGATCATCGAAAATTGCAAAATATCGCAAAAAAATGGTGACCTTTCGGATGCAGTCATCGTAAACGTATGCTTAAAGAAAAGAAACGGGAAATGAAAACATAAATATGCGTTCGCATGATTTTTCGCTCCCCTCATTCAATTCATAATAAGACTACTTAAGTTGGTCTAAATGTTTTGGCATGAGTAAAAGAAGAGAGGGAGCCGGCGTTCATATGAATAATACACGAAAAATACATAAAATATGTGTGCTCGACCGATTGGATGTAAAGTAATCTGGTCGAAATAAGCAATATATCTAAACGCAATTTTAGTTTTTCTTTTTCACAATATTCGTCTCCCCCCGTCTTCACTTATATATACATATGGGTGTGTTTTTTTCGATTTATTCATTCTGTCTTTGTCTATTGTATTGTTTTTCTTGTTTGTGCATTGTTTTCTCCATTCTGCAGCAACCATAATGTTATTAAGACGCTGATTTGATTTCCCTTTCCAACATCGAATGCAACCGAAGAACGGACATACACATCCCATAACACTCGACTCGACATGCTCGTTATAGTGTTTGTCATTCTGGTCGGCGGTGGCCATGCCGAAAACAGATAAACTCATAACATTATTGTACAATATACATTTCTAATGAAAATTTATACGCATTTCAGAAGATGTACGGCTTGTACATTGTAGGCTATGTTTTTGTTAGGGGAACGATGACGGTCGTTTGCCAAAAATGCAATTCGTTGAAGTTTGTGTCGTCTTCTCCATCGAAAAGAGAATTTGATATTTATAAGCGGCCTTGTTAAATCGTACAAAAACTTCCAACGGAATTCCATTTGCTTCCTCTTTCTCTCTTGCTTTCATCTTGTGTGATTCTTTCACATTCAAGCCGATTGTTATCGTTGGCATCGTATAGTTTATGTATAATGTATGTTTGAAAAACGGTATCGAGTTCAAACGAAAATGGCAAGGGGTCAAGTGTGGCGGCTTGTTCTTTGTTAGTCAACACAAGATGACATGAGCATGATATCGATGATATAGAGATGAACAAAAAAGGGATTCGGCCAACACAACAAACGAAAGAAGAAGAAGAAGAGAAGAAGAAAAAAGTTTGTGTTATCGATGGGGAAGTGGTTTTGCAATAGCATGTAAGTTTTGGTCGTATACTCTTGAAAAGATTTTCGTTTTGAATCCAATTATCTTTGTTGTTGTTTGTTAAAAGTTTGTATTTTATTTTCAATTTCGTTGCCGTTGGATCGGGGCCAAAAAGTTAAAAGGAATTATTTAATATATTGTAATTCAAAAGGCCGATATTTCACCATTTGATGCCTGTTTTCAATCGAATTATTCAAAGTCGTATAAAATGTGATGAATAATGATTAGAAGCGTACTGTATGTGCATTGAGGAAAAAAAAGGTCTTTTGGACACGTGCACATTAAACCAAAATGAAATCATTTCACCGCATCGCATCATCCGTTGGCAAGTGACCATATAAATTCCAACAAATCCGCTGGCATTTTCTCTCATTTAATTAAACCAAACCAAACACAAGCCCACCAAAAAATAAAGAGTCTTACGGGAGTAAGACGAACTTTTCCGCACGGTGGTAGTTGCGTATTTTATTAAGAAAGTTCAAAATAATATTTGCTCGATTCTTCAAGTCTTTCAAGCGGCGTAAAGTTCGAGACCAAAAAATATTTTTCAACTTTGGCAACGAAATATTCTTTAATTTAATAGCAGAAGTAGCCAAGAAAAGATTTTTCACACTTTCATGATGAACCCATTTGTACGACATTTGAAAGTATTCTATTTTCCAACAAAATACTATAAAAATATGTCTGACGTTAATTTTGCCATAAAGATTATTTTTGAAACACTTTTCATAACTAAAGTCACAACAAATTTGGATTTTTGTATGGGAGCCATGTCTGTATGCTACCTTAATGGCGTGAAACTTTGCACAGGTTATTTTTTTCACAAATAACATTCGGAGGGTTTGGAGAAATTTCAACCAAAATCAAGAGTACCTCCCATACAAAATATTCGTTTTTGAGCCAATTGAAAATTTTGTATGGGAGGTACCCCTTATTTTAATTGAAATCTCTTCAAATTTTCAGAATGTTATTTTTTTGTGTAAAAAATAGTCTGTGCAAAGTTTCACGTCATTAAGGTAGCATACAGGCATGGCTCCCATACAAAAATCCAAATTTTTTGTGATTTTTTCAAGGAAACTGTATTAAAAATTGATTGTATCTCAAAACTAACGTCGGATTCGGTTTTCTCGTGCCAAAAAACCCCCCAATACATATTTTTGAGTGTTTAAGTCTACATTAAGTATGACTTTTGGACGAAAATTGGACTCTTTTTCATAGGTATCACTCCAGGCATGGAATTTTTTTCCATCAACCAAAGTCGCTCAAAATCTGATGATTTCTATTCCTGGGGACCCCCAATCATCCCGTGAAGTCAGATTTTAAATAACTTTTCTGGGGGGTGAGATAATCGATGGACAAATTTTGCGTACGGCGGACAACGTACGACGTACGACGTACGACGTACGACGTACGACGTACGACGTACGACGTACGACGTGGAACAGACCCACAACAACCATGCTCAAAACGGCCTGATTCGGGTTCTCTGACCTCAGAAACGTCCAGAAAACATGTTTTTGAGATGTCGTAAATTTTGACCCATTACAATACTTTCCCCTTTCACACTATGTGTGTGCGGAAAAGTAACAAAACCGCTTCATTACTTTGGAAATTGCTATATATATACGGTGTCTCCACTCATTTTGAATTAATAAATAGATTTCGGGTGCTCTTCTTCTTTTTTAATCCGTGTAATTCGGTGTGTGCATGCAAATTTTCTGGCACATGATATAGCCATATCAATGTCTCATTTTGTAAGCAAAATGACACCAAATTAGATTTGAATGCTTCGGCAATGGCAGTCATGTTCGGTGAATCCTCATCTCGTTTTTGTTTTAATATTTCGCTTATTTTTTTGCGCTCATTTAACGATATTTTTACTGTGAGATTATGGGGTATACAACATCAAGTGGAACGATAGATTGCATTTGCCAATTCATTTCTCGCTCCCTTTCTTTCATTCTTTGCCATTTTTTTGCTGCCCTCATCTTCACTTCAGTAATTTTCATTTTTCTTTATATATTTTCATGTGTTTTTGTTTTTGTTTCGTCTTAAACCGTTGT